GGATGAAAAAAACAGGGGGCCTGGGTGGCTCAGTCAGTTAAGCGTCTGCCTTTGGCTCGGGTCATGATCTCGGGGTCTAGGACCAAGCCTTACATCAGGCTCCTTGCTCAGTGGGAAGCCTGCTTCTCCCTCTGCCTGCTGCTCCCCCTGCTTAATGCTCTCGCTCTCTGTCAAATAAATAAATAAATAAATAAAAACCTGAAAAAAAAAAGGTTGAAAAAACAAGTTAGCAAGCGGGGAAAACATGTTTGCAAACCACATGCCCTAGAAAGAAGCCTGATATTCAGGATATAAAAAAGAACCCCCAAAACTCAACATTAAGATCTAACAATCTTGTTAGAAAGTAGGCAAAAAGACTTCACCAAAGAGATTATACCAATGGCAAATAAGCAGACAAAAATGTTCGGCATCATTAGCCATTAGGGAAAAACAAATGAAAACCGCAACATGGTATTACCACACACCTCCTTTAGCTTCTTGACATATGATAATTTCTACAGGTTACTACCACACCCCTCAGCAATTACACCCCTGGGCATTTATCCCACAGAAACCTGCACACAAATGTTGATAGCGGCTCTATTCATAATCTCCTAACACTGGAAACGACTCAGACGTCCGTGAGTATATGAATGGTGAACAGACGGTGGCACATCTATACCATGGAATACTCAGCATGAAAGGGAACAGATTACTGATACATGCAATGACTTATATGAATCTCCAGACAATTAGGCTGGGAGAGGAAAAAAATGCAATCCCAAAGGGTTAAGTGCTCTATTTTTCCATTTAAATAACACTGTTGAAGTGGCAAGATTCTAGAAACAGAGAGTATTGAGAACAGTGGTGAGCAGGAGTTAAGGGGTTGGGGGAATACGGAGGGCATGGTCATGGGGGTAAAAGCGCAGCTGGAAGGATCCTGAGGATGTTAGCCATGTTCTGTGTCCTGACTGTACCAATGTCAATATCCTGCTTGGGACGCTGCATTCTAGTTTTGCAAGATGTTGTCATTGGGAAAAACTGGGCCAAGGGTACGTGGGATCTCTCTGTATGATTTTTTACGCATTCATGTGAATCTACAATGATTTCAAAATGAAAGAGTTTAATACTAATGATTTAGAAACCCGAATCTTACCGTATCACCTCTCTCCAGTCACTTCACCGCTGTTGTAAGATAACATCAAAATGCTTGGTGGTGCTTGATGAGAACCTGTCTGGTCTGGCCCCCGTGATTCCCAGCCCTGGCAGCCTGTGAGAATTACGTATGGAGCTTATAAAAAATACTAATGCCTGAGCATCACTCCAGCTCAATTAGATTAGGATCTAATCTCTGGGGGGTAACTAGACAGTAATTAGCATTCTCGTTGATTACTGGTCACTATCAGACCCTAGGCTCCAGCAAACCTGTTTTTGCTTTCCATTGTGGTTCCAGCCCCTAAATCAGTGTCTGCTCCTGGGAGGTGCTCCCTGAATGTATGTGAAGTGAATGAATGAATGAATGAATGGATACAGGGGAAACAGAAGGATCCTCCTTCCCTGTTTTGCTGTCTCCCTGAACCCGTGAAAGGAGAGAAGGACGGGGTAAGGTGCCTTCCCTGGTGTGCTCTCCATCCCCTCAGCTTCATTACAGAATCACAGTAGGGATCACAGCATTGCTCCAGGAGAGATCCATCCCCAGAGTACGAGATCTGGAAATGGTGACAGGGCCTCGTTCTTCACACTCAATCAGCAAATGTAATGAAAGTGAAACAGAAGCTGGTAAGGAGGCTGGAATGACACATAATCTTCCTCAGGCAGAAATAACAGAAAACATTTTTAACGCAGCTAAAAAAAAAAAAAAAAAAATTAAAGGCATTGGCAAAGAGATGAAAACAAATTTTATGCAGGGAGAGAGGCTGGGGAAAGGAGGCTCCCAGCCTTTGACCTCCTCATCCCCTTTACAGAAAATCTTGTTTGCTGCTCAGGAAGCCACAGTGGTTCACGTAATGTTGATACGCGAGTACAGTGATACCAACAGGCACTGGCTTCAGCAAATTCCAAGGTATTGTTAAGGCTTGTAGTGATTTTGTCCTATTGCCTCTCAGTATCTGTATGAACATTTACAGTGTGGGCACGATAATTAACATTTCAAACAATTACTCCGAGGCAATGGCAAGTTCTGGAATTTTATACAAATTTCAGTCCGTAAGTTCACAAACACCAGTGTGGGGGAAATGTAACTTTATTCTCAGTAACTCCATTCAATTTCCATGTCTGCACCACCACCACCACCACCACCATGACCACCAACACTACCATCATGACCACACCATTACCACCACCATGACCATGACCACCACCACCATCATGATGATGACCACCACCACCACTATCCTTTCTACCTAATTCATGGAAAACTTACCTTTTTTTCCTTATTTTTGGAATGTTTTTCAAGTGCTCCCCGGAACTGTCGAGCTTTAGGGTGGTAAAGCGTTGTGAGGGTTGGGAGTGTATTGGCCCTTGGATCCCCTTTCCATGTAGGCGGAAGGAAGCAAGCCCCTTTATATCTGACAGCGACACTGTTTGGACCCATGCTTTAGGCTTGGGTATCTTCATTAGGCCGCTTATCTTCACATCTGTCCAGATGTCTCAGCGGCCCTCCTCTCTCTGGTGTTGCTTTGTCCCTGGCAGCTGCGTGCTTGAAAGACGATCTAGCACCCTTTTCCTTCCCCTGTCTCCTCCCTCCATCCAAACAAAATCTCTTTCTAGTTGGATGGAAAAGTGTGATTGAGGTAGCTGAGCCAAAAACACAGGTGGGTCACCAAACGACCTGCATTGGAAACTGGATAACTTGGGGCGCCTGGGTGGCTCCGTCGGTTAAGCATCTGCCTTCGGCTCAGGTCATGATCTCGGGGTCCTGGGATCGAGCAGGGAGCCTGCTTCTCCCTCTGCCTCTGCCCCTGCTGGTGCTCTTTCTCTCTCAAGTAAATAAATAAAAATCTTAAAAAAAGAAAAAAAAAAAGGAAACAGGGTAAATTATGGGCCACAACTCAAGACACACATCAACAAGTGAGGGAATACAAAAGAGAAGATAATTAGTAATTATACAAAGACACATTGAAATTTGTGCACTTACTGAGTTTTGTCTTTTTAAGGTCCTCCTCCCACGAAGCTCCCTCAGGTCCAGAAGTGATGATCAATTATTTATTTCCTGCCTTCTTTACCTGTATGGTCTTCTTAAATCATTCCCCAAACCCTATGGAGAGTTCATATCATTCCGAGAGTAGACACAAGAAAACGTGTCCCTTGGAGGTTAGTGAATATTTAACAGGGCCTAGGGGTCAGGTAATCATTTTTCTCTCTTTCTATCTCATATTTCTATTTCTTTTTTTTTTTTTAAGATCTTGTTTATTTATTTGACAGAGAGAGAGAGAGCAAGAGAGGGAACACAAGCAGGGGGAGTGGGAGGGAGAAGCAGGCTTCCCGCGGAGCAAGAAGCCCGATGTGGGGCTCGATCCCAGGACCCTGGGAACATGACCTGAGCCCAAGGCAGACGCTCAACGACTGAGTCATCCAGGCATCCCCTCATATTTCTATTTCTATATTGACTCTGGCAAACCTTTAAAGATTAGATTCAGAGGTGTAAGGATGAGACCACCTCCCCCGATTGCTTGGCCTTTTGGGTGTTCTTCAGATGAAAGCATGGAAGGCCCGTCCATTCCGTCTTTGTGTGGAGATGACCTGGGCCAGGAGTGAGAGCCTTAGATTTGCTATGAGGAGTTCTCTTCCCATTGGCGTTTGAGAATTCATTCCGTAGAGCAGTAGTGCACACTGGGGCGCTTAAAAAAAATCTTCATGTCTGAGCTGCACCCCAGACCACTTCAATCAGAACCTCTGCGGGGTTGGGGGGACCCAGACGTTAGTATTTAAAAAATCCTCCAGGTGTTTCTGCTCTGCGGCCGCAGTCGAGAACGAGGGCTCTGAAGCAGCAGTTCCCTGGCCCCGACATGCATCAGAATCACCTGGAAGGCTTGTTAAAACCATGATTGTTGGGACCCACTTGTAGAATTTCTGATTCAGTAGGTCTGGGTGAGGGCCAAGGATGTGCATGTCTGCGTTCCCAGGTGATTGGTGATTGCGCAGAAGTAAAGCTGCTCTGGTCTCTTCTTTCCTGCCTGTCAGGTGACAAAGGGTTTGTGTCTCAGTCTGTTGCATGACTCTCCGCACACTGACTTACCCGACAGAACTACTGGAGCACCACCAGCTGCAGGAATGCTACACAGCTTGTCAGCATCAGAAGGATTGGAAATAAATCAGGGAATGAATTCCTTCAGGCTTCGAATGGATTAGAAGGAGCTTATCACAATGTTCAGTAGGAAAATAAACATCTTTCGAAGGAAATTTACCACAGTCAAATTTAGTTGTGCCCTTCCTTCTATCAACATCCCTTTTCTCGTCTTCTCCAAGTCTTTGTGATAACTTCTCTTTATTAGTTTTGATGAAGTCAAGTGATAAAGTTTACGGAGCCAGACCTCAAGAGACAGGGATACGTTTTCAGATGTATTAGGGCAGCAGTGACAGAGTTAGCAAAAAACCAGAAACAAACAAACCCAAACCCAGGCCACTCAGTTAAATTTGAGTTTGAGATGAATAATGAATAGTTTTTTAAAATAAAAATGTCCTAGGTAATCCTCAACAGTCCTGATGGTGGGGCAAATATGAGGATGGGAATGACACAGGTGCCTGCTGTGGAGAAATGGGACATACCCATCCGTTTCCGCTCACGGATACACAGAAGTACTTGATCTTGAGCCTCATCCATCGAGAGCTCGACAGCTGTGGGCTGAACCGAGGCCCTGTAGATATCTAAGATATAGATACAGTAGACAGAATTGCTGAGTGACTTCACAGAAGGATGCTGGTTACTCGAGGTCTCGGGCTCTTGTGGTTTGGTTACTCTAGTTGGGTTTTATTGTCTAAATCAGTGGTTTGCGACACAGGGCGATTCTCCCCTGTCTCGCATGGGCATTTGGCAGTGTCTGGAGACATGTTTGCCTGTCGCGACCGTGAAGGCTGGTGCCACTGGTATCTAGTTGTTTGAAGCCAGGGATGCAGCTAAACAGCCCGCTGCACCGGACAGCCTCCTGCGATAAAGAATTTTCTGGCCCAAAACATCCACACAGCTGAGGTTGAGAAACTCTGGTCTAGATCTGACCATGCAGGATTCAGCCGCTCTGTGTCAGATTACTCCAGCCATGTCCTGGAGCGTCAGAGTGTTTTACTTCTCCTGGGTGTCAGTTTGGCAGAAGGGAATGCCTCCTACACGCTGTCCTTAAAGGTAGGGGTAGAAGGATTTTGATATGCTCCTTTGAGATCTTACAAAACAAGGGAAGCGCTGTAGAGGTTCCAGAAAAAGTGTCAGTCCTCACTTGCGTTCTCCCTAGCATGGCCTAGATTTGATTCCTTTGAAGAGTTCAGGCAGGACCTGTGAAATTCAGGTGATCGAACTCTGTCACTCTCCCCTTGTTCAGTGTGGGAGACTTAATTTTTGTCTTGACCCCCCACATAGCTCTGGCCATCCAGGACTTGCTTGGAGGAGACGCTGACCAAACAGGTATTCATTATTTTGTGTATGATAGCTGTTACTATAACCCTTGCTTTCAGAAGGAAGCTGAATGCCAAATCCAGCAACAATGAACATTCACGGTATCTTGACGATACCTCGTGTTTTCATTATGTTTACCTCTAAATAACTACAAAGCATTTAACAGACATACATTCTTATTAAGACCTAATTAATTCCCGTGGTACTCATGGGAAGCAAAGAGGAGCTGGGTCATATTCTTCCCACTTTAAGAGGTGATAATTAAGCCCGAGTCACACACTATGTGAAGAGCTAGGACTACAGTGCAGCTCTTGACAATGGTGCTGGGCCTGCCAGCCGGTACTGCATCATTCTGCTGATGGCATCGGCTCGTCAGACCCAGATGAGCGACCGGTCAGAAACGTCTGATTTCAAAATCCTGTTTAAAAAAAGATTTATTTATTTTGACAGAGAGAGAGGTGGAGGGAGGGGCAGAGGCAGAGGGAGAGGGAGAATCTCAAGCAGACTCCCCGCTGACCACAGAGCCTGACTTGGGGCTCCATCTCAGAACCCTGAGGTCATGACCTGAGCCGAAATCAAGAGTCGGAGGCTTCACCGGCTGTACCACCCAGGCGCCCCTCAAAATCCTTTTTAAATGTACACAGCAGATTGTGAAGGGTGGTTGCTAATCAGAGAAGGAGGACACAGCAAGGACATTTCCATTTCTAGTAGTTTACCCTTTTTAAACAAAAATGCAGCAACAGAAAAGAAGGGGAAGAGTATAAATTACAGTGCAATAAATATTTACTGTTGGCTCCCTGGTGCCAAATCCTGTGCTAGATACCATGGAAGATGAAATATAAATATATATCCTCGTTATGTCATTTCATATGTAAGTTGGAGACTCAAGACTTACCAGTATGAAATATACAGAGAATTGTAAAAGTCATAATATAACGTATATGCGTGCCAAAATGTATGTATAGGAGGCTGCACTGTCCTGGAAGGCAGAGACGTCTTTATGAAAAAGGTGGAATTGAAGAGCGTTGAAACAGTAGTAGGACTGGTTCAAGTGGACAGTAGGAATCCGGGGAGAGAGGATTCCACGAGATAAAAGCGTTAGTGAATAGAGGTGGGGTCATTCTTGCTACTCTCTGGAAGAGAAACTTAGCAGCTCTCAAGCAGTCATTTCCTGATAGGTGGACAGAAGGCAAAAAAGCCACAGGCTAAGGGGACAGAGTAAACAAGTGCTCAGAAGACAGAGGCCAACTTCCCAAGTTCCTGTTAATACCCTAACCCCTGGTTCCATCTCTGCCTGAGCCTCAGATGCACCCCTGATTTACCCCAGTGTCTTCAAATAAATTTCCAGTTTTTTGTTGACCAATAGCAGGACCTAAGCCTTTACTGAGTCCAGGAATCCTAGCCGTGGGCAAAGGAATGAGCACAGAGGGTTGAGGCTTCCCAGATCCAAGCCCCAGGGTTAAAACCTTGGAACCAGCTGTTGTCTGCAGCTGGCTTTTCTGGTCAGCCTTGGTTTGGAAACTAAATTGTGGGCTGGCCAGATGAGTTTCAAGGACTGAGGGGGCCCTTGAGGTCTTGTTGCTGCTCCTCAGGCTTTGTGGCTCCAGATTCTTCCCACTGAGACAAATTGCCATGGACACACAGAAGCCTCCTTGCTTCTGGAGCACTTCGCAGACTTTGACGACAGTTTGGTGAGTCATGGCTGCTCAGTAAGGGTTCAGCTGGACAGAACCACCACATTTTTTTTTTTTTTTTGGTAAAGATTTTATTTGAGAGAGAGCACGAGAGAGAGAGAGCATAAGAGGGGAGAGGGTCAGAGGGAGAAGCGGACTCCCCGTGGAGCAGGGAGCCCGATGCAGGACTCGATCCTGAGACTCCGGGATCATGAACTGAGCTGAAGGCAGAGGCATAACCGACTGAGCCACCCGGGCGCCCAGAACCCCCGCCCACATTCTTAATCAACTAGGTTACCTTCCAAAGGTAGAAGAATCATTCATCTGGAACTAAACCACCCACCTCAGAATAGTTGTTCTGGCAAATGAACTGTTTTCCCCAGTATTTGCTCTTAGTATTATTTTAAACATATTTTAATGACAGATTGTGACTTGGAAGTGATTCATTTTTATTTCATAGTTGTCTTGACAACAATGTAATTTATGACATTTTATGTGCTTGAGAATCCTAAAATTTTACAATGTGTTGCTTATTAAAATTCTGATAAAAAACGCAGTGATAAAATTCTTTAGGGTTGGTGGACTAAAGAAAAGAACTATTTTTACTAAACCTTTTTTCTTTTTTGGTCACAAACAGTAGTCACTTAAGGACCATTAATTAAATTTAATTTCAGGGAGCCCCAACTCAAGTCTCTTCTAGTCGCTTCACCCAGAATTTACTTGTATTGCCTTTGCAATTTCTTCTTAGATTTTTAAATTATAACTTTCTCTCTGGATTACTTCATGAAAACGGAATAAAGTGGAAATAGTTTTATATCTTGCTTTTTCCCATATCTTACATAGTCTTAAAATTACTCATGGAAATAATTTAGGAAGATTTGTATTATGAAAAATTTCAAACATACAGAACACTAAGGAAAAATTACAAGGAGCAGTCTAGAAAAACCACTTACAATCAAGCACTGTTAATATTTTGCAAAACTTAAGTTTACCGTTACGTTTTTTGGGTTGGCGGTGGGGGTACATTTTAAAGACTCCTTGACACCGTCTACACCAGATGCTTACCTGAACCGTTTTGGGGTTTTTTTGTTTTGTTTTGTTTTCTGGAAGTCCCAAGCTTAAGGGACACTGCATAAAAAACACTTCTGAGAAATCAGCCAGTCTTCCGGCATTCCTTTAGTCTGAAAAAATTGATATCACAAGAAAGCAAGGCCTCTTTTCCACCTTAGGTGCAAAGGGACGAAAATACCCAGTAGGGCTACTATGACTCAGAGTTGCCGTCAGCAGACACTCAAAGGCTGAGTTTAACGGACTTTCAGCTGTTACTCTGAAGCCGCGCGTGACAATTGCACTTTGGTAGCCGCCCGGGGAAGGGCGGGGCACGCGGCCTCGGTGCGCATCCCCGCCCGCCCGCCGGCTGCACGGTGCGATTTTCCTGCCTGTTGTAAAGCGGGGCGCCTCCGGCCGGGTCGAGCAAAAGCAGTGAAAGGCCCGCCAGAAGCACCCGGAGGGCCCCACGCGCAGACTTGGTTCGGCAGGCCCGGAACCTCGCACTAACAGAGTCTCCGGGGGTGACGGGCTGCCCGCGGCCCCCAGGAGCCCCGTGCGCCCGCTCGCTACGAGGCTCGCCATCCGGGCCGTCTAGCAGCCGCGGGGAAGAGCCGGGGCCTCACCGGAGACGCTGCCGCCAGCGCCGCCCGCCCCTCCGCAGGCCACGGGGGAGCTCGGCGGGGCCGCTGGGGAAGCGGGCTTGCCGCCGCGCGGACGCGGACCCCAGCCCCAACTTCCGCCTCTCGGGAAGGCAGAGGCAGTGCGCCCCCGCAGTCCTGCCCGCCGCGTTTCGCGGCCGCGCAGCGACTCCGCGCCCCACCGCGGGGCGGAGGCAGGTGCCGAGCGGTGACCGCGGAGGGCGTGGCTGGGAGAGCGGCGCTCGGCGCCCGCCCCGGGCCCGCCGGCCGGGCGGAAGATGGCTGCCCCGAGCGCCGCGGACAGTCACGTGCCCGGGCGCTGCCGCCGCGCGCCCCCTCCCGCGCTGGCCCAGTCCGCGACCCCGCGGCAGGCGCAGTCCGGGCGCCTGTCCACCACGGGGATGCCGCGCGGCCCGGTCGGGGACGGGGGGGGGGGCGGTGCGCGGCGCGGGGAAGGCCACCTCTCCCCGCTGCCCGCCCCTAATCTGGGCGCGGGGGTCGGGCGCTCGGAGCCGGGGAAATCTTCCTGGGGGCGACCTGCACCAAGTCGGGCTACTGGGCATGCGCGGTGCTCCCGTCCCAGGACGGCCGGTCTCCGGGTTTTCCCGGCCACTCGGAGCGGCGGCGGGAGGTGGGGCCCGGGCGGGGCGGGGCGGAGCGGGGCGGGGCGGCCCGGGTCTCTCGCCTCCCAGCCGGGCTCCGGGCTCGGGCTCGGGCTCTGCGGGGCACCCAGCAGACGGCCTGATTGTTCGGGGTTGGGAGTCTGCACAGAGAGAGCCGCAGCCGCCCTTTCTTGGGATCAGCCAGGAGTTCACCCCAGTGTCGCAGAGCTCAGGGTCGCAAACTCGTTCCCCCGAGGCCCCCTGCAGGAGGCCGAGTTTGCGTTCCCGGTTCCGAGCAGCTCCGGCTCCGCCCCCGGCGGCACGCCGCCCGACCGTCAACCTCGGCTTGGTTCCGGCCTCAGGGGGCGACCCCCCCCCCCCCCCCAGATCCGCAGCTGGACCCTTCTCCCAAGCTCCGTATTCCTGGAAAGTAAAGTAAGGGGCCAAGCCACGCTGCCCCTCTGGGCGCAGCCTGTGGCCCGGGTCCAATCGGGCCCCGCCGACCCCGCCCGCCTGGCCCGCCCTCCCCTACCGGCCGCCGCTAACACCCGGAGGAGCGGACTCCCGGCGCGCGGAGAGCCAGGCCGGCGCGGGCAGCGGACTGGGCATGCTCGGCAGCCCGGAGGCTCGCGGTGGCAAGTCGGAAGCGTTCGCACCAGCGAGGCAGCGGCCGGGCGGCGGCGGCGGCCGCGGGCAGGACGGAGCGGGCAGGGCGGCCAGGAGAGGCAGCGTCCCTCCGCGCACGGCGAGCCGGCGGGAGAGCGCGATCCCGCTGCGGAGCCCCGACGCTGCCCTGCCCCGGATTTCAGTGCGCGGCGTGGGGCTCGGCGAGCGGAATTCCGGCGGCGGCCGCGACTCCGGTGCAAGTGAGCTGTGGGGCCGGGGGGTGGGAGTGGAGAGCGTCGATCCCGGGGGGGGGGGGGGGGCGCCTCGGCGGGTGGTCCGGGCCGGGGGCCGGAGACTCGCGGGGGCCGGCCCCAAATCACGGCCCCACCCCCACGGCTCCGGCGGCGGCGTGACAGTTGACACCTCCGGGCCAGATCGCAGCGGGCCAGGCGCCCGGGGTTTCGGGATTCCCCCCACCCCCACCCTCTCCGCGGCCCCTCGGCGCCGGTCCCAGCCGGCATAACAGGTGGGACCCCCCCCCTCCTCCTGTCCCCGCGGAGCAAGCTGCCCTCCCCAGGCCGCAGAACGTCCTGCAGGTTCAGGGGAGGCCCCCGCCGGAGGACAGGGAGTGGGCAAGGCCTGGAGCAGCCATCGGCGCAGCCGGGACTGGACAGTGTCTCCAGGACGCGGCTGTCCCCGCGAGTGAGGGGTCCTGCGACCCCGAGGCGACTTGTCAAGGGCAGAGCGGCGGCAGCAGCGGCCGTCTCTCCCACCGTGTCAACCCCGACCGGGGCTTGCGGCTGCCGGTGGGCCGGCGAGGGCGTCCTCGTCCAGCCAACGGATTCGGGCTGGCGCGTTCTGGGCAACGCCTGCTTCCCTCCTGGGAGTCGCGAGTAAAAATCCTGGCCAGAGGGAGTGGAAGGGCTCCCTGCAGGTGCTGCTCAGATGTTTCTTTTCACCTTCAGTCACCAAAGACTTCAGTGGCACACGCTTATGAAACCCAGAGCGAAGGCTGCTTTGTGAAAGGGAAGTTTATTTTCCGCGTGAGGGGTCTGCTTACTGTTTTAGCTCCCTTGACATTTACCTTCCTTGGACCTTTCGAGCTGTTCGGACAGGTGACTCTGCTCTCAGACTCGGGGGCCTTTCGGGTTGGCTGCCTGGCTGTGGAGTGGTAAGCGCCTGTCACGGTGCGCCGGGAGCCCCCCACGCGTCCCGGTCCCGAGGCTTGAACATGCAGGGAGGACTGAGTGGGCAGAAAGAGGAGTGGGACTGGTGACGTAGCAACTCGGGGGGGGGAGTTGCCAGGGGCCGCCCCAACACGGGGGGGGGGGGCGGTGTTGGCAGCCGTTTGGGCCTGTGCAGAAGGGGACGGGGCTGGGCGGGTCTTGGTTGGGGTGCAGGCTCTCCGCGGAGGATGAGTCCCTGCCTGGCCAGTGCTCCAAGGGAAGCCCGGGGATGTTTGGTGATTCAGCAGGTGGCAGCCTTCCAGCTCTGAAGCCATCCATGCCTCGTCCGGGCCGGAGAGCCGGCCAGCGGCGGCTTGTGCTTCTGAGGCTCCGGCTTTGAGGGGACCTCCAGGGGCTGGCGTCTGCCTGTAGCCGCTCACTTGCCTTATCTCGCTGTTTGTTTGGGTCTGGAGGCCCTGAGCTTTTGGTTTTCTTAACTGCTTCTCTTCAGCCAGGTGGCACGTCTTTTTTGAGTCTCGGCAGCTCCGTGACCTGCTGGGTACGAGGAGGTGGTGCCTGCCACCGCGCACAGCTGAAAATGTAGCTGGTTACTCGGCAGCAAATGATGCCAGTATGGAAAGCGGAGAAAGCGTCTTTTCCTTCTGTTCTGCTTCAGAGACGAGAAATTTACATTTTTAATAGAATAGTAAGATGTATTTCTGTAACTCTTCAGGGCTGGTTGTAAGCATTATTTATTTTTAAAGAAATTAATTCAAGGGATGGATTAAACTAACACGGAAGGGACCCAGTTATTAAGACAGCATCTTATCCCTTGGAGGATCCCAGGCATCTTGCACAGTGCCTACCTTGTAGGTGCTCAGTAAATGCTTACTCAGCTGAATTAAAAAAACAATCTCGTCATTAAGTTTGGCACGTAAAGAACTTTATTTTCCTAAGTTGGAATTGCCTGTGTTGACCGCAGACATTCAGTTTTCACTTGAAAACTCAATCCTTTCCCTTTTCTTTCCTGGTTAAGTCCCTTAATTTTCCAGATTGTGGCAGATCCTGTATTCAGCTGGAAAAAAACCCGCATGCTTTGCTCACATATCTCATAAAAACCTAAAGGACTCGTCCTACATAGAGCTATCATACAGATTTTTAAAAAACTAAAGGGGCACCTGGGTGGCTCAGGTTAAGCGACTGCCTTCGGCTCAGGTCATGATCCTGGAGTCCCCGGATCGAGTCCCGCATCGGGCTCCCTGCTCGGCAGGGAGTCTGCTTCTCCCTCTGACCCTCCCCCCTCTCATGCTGTATCTCATTCTCTCTCTCAAATAAATAAAATAAAATAAATATAAAAAAATAAAAAGTAAAGCATACTTCTGTTGCACATCAAATGTGCTTTATCTGTGAAACTTTATTTTGTACAAAGCATTTCAGGAAGACTCTTTAGAATTCCTAAACCTTTACCGCCCAGTGAAAAGTGAGGCTGTGTAAAAGACAAAACCATGTTTGGGGAATAAGAATTTGGCTTTGTTTGCACAGGGGCATCAGCTCCCTCGTCCTTGGGGGAGGTGTGAGTGTTGGGCCAGCTCATGCTTATGCATCTTTTTAAACTTTGTTCTGCTCCTTCCTGCAGTTGTTCATCTGCTGCTTCTTTCCCTAAAGACATACTTTCCTGGCATGGGCTTGGCTTGCTTAAAGCTGCTGCTGGAAGGGTCTTTTGCATTTTCTCACATAAATTCAATCAGCTGTGGTTTTTATTTTCTGATTGTCCCCTGCACTGTGGAAGCCACTTCGTGGGGTGAACTGTTCTATGGTCCTTGGAAAAAGCTGTGTCCGGTGTGCTCCTGAGGGGACATGACAGATTATAGATGGGTTTTTCTTTGCCCCCCCCCCTTTTTTTTGGTTGGTAGCTATAAGCAGTCTCTTTTGGAAGAACTGTTACAGCATGCCTGGTGTTAAAGGCCCTGGCCTTTCTGTTACAGGCTCTTGGTCAGGAATATAAGTGGTCAGTTATTATCTCTGACCACGTTCTGAGATTTGTGGCTGTAAAGTTTGTCAGTTGATAAGCTCGTCTGTCACCAGATGATCTGCCGGTCTGGATGTGGGAGCTGGGAAGCAGAGTGGGATGTAGGGGAGGGGAGGGTGAAGAAAGGGGAAACAAAGGCTTGTGGGCCAGGAGGAGGGCTTGGTTTTCTAACTGACTTCTGGTTTCACTGAAACAGACTTGACTGCTGGCCACAGGCATGGCTGAGTCTCTCCCCTCCGGAGGCTTTCTTACCTCCACAAATAAAGCACTCTCTGCTCGCCCCACAGACACACACACACATACAGACAGACACGCACACTGAGAAAAGACAGAGGTGTGGACACACACACCCTTTGCCGAGCGCCTAGAAGCTCAGCTTTTTTTATGTGCTAATATGTCGCAGAGGGAAACTCCAGGGCTCAGGAGCAGGTTGGGTTCCGGGGGCCTGAATTCCTCCAAGCTCGTCCATCAGAAAGATCCCCTCTTCCTCTCTGAGTGCTAAAGGGATCTGTTCCCTAGCCACTGTGGAAATTGCTGGGGGCTTCCACTGTACGCAAAGGCAGGCGAGTAGGTACTTAGGGCTGCTCTGGTGGTTTTCACCTTTCAGACGTCGAGGTGCTGGGTGGTCAGCGTGCCTCCGTGGTTGGCGCAAGACCCTCTCCTTTCCTTCTTTGACGTTTCCCCTTCATTTTTACTCCCATTCCTCTCCCCGCCAGAGGAGCCTCCTCTTCTGGGTTGGATATATTCTTAGGTATGTTTGTGTCCTCGTTAAAGGTGTTATTTTGTGCGTGTCTTCAGTTTACGTAAGTGGTCCTGTGCTATAGACTCCTTTGGTGTTCTGTTTCATTCAACACTCAACCTTTTTATTACGGAAATCTTCAGACATTCACAAAAGCAGGAAGAATTTCATTCAAGACTTTGCGAGATCTGTGTTAGTGTGGGCTTATCTAGGGCTTTGCTGTGCATCCTTTAGTTTTGTTACCCGTTTCCCTGGCGAGGGACACTTAGCTCACCTCATTCAGGCAACGCTGTGATGAACATCCCGTATGCGTTCTTTTCAAGATGGGTGTGAGACGTCTCTAGGGTAGTGCTTCCTCAAGTGGTCCACGCGCAGGAGCCACAGGGGCAGCGCCGGGCACCTGCTGGAAATGCAGATTCTGAGGCCCCAGCCTAGACCTGAATCAGAAACCCTGGGGGCAGACCCCATGAGCTTGTGTTGTAACGTGCCCGGGCTGGCGATGGCGGTAGCTGGGACGGTTTGAGACCCACTGTTGCAAGGGCGCGTGCCTCGGCGTGGAGTGGCTGGCTGGAACGGAACGAGCACAGCTGTTTTGACTAAATGCTGCTAGATTGTTCTCCTCTTGGGTGCATGGGGGTCCCTGATTCCCTACATTCTCGACAGTGGTTGGTATTAGCCCTCTTTCTAACTTTACCCGGATTTGGTGGCTATAGTGTGGGATCTCCTCGTTTTCCTGGGAGCTTGTGTCATTTCTTAGTGAAGTTGAGCATCTTTGTTCGCTGTTAGTTTCTTACCCAGCTGTAGTCTTGTTTCTCTCCTGTGTTGGTTTGCACGTGCTTCTTGCATGTTCTAGATAGTGATCCCATCCTGCCGTCTGTCAACTTTGTCAGTAGTCACTTTCCGAAATTTTTGTTTCTGTAGAGCTCATCACTTTTTGCTTTATGTTGCACTTCAGGGGTCTGAAGATGTTCTTCCTTACCCTGGACTCACCAGGCTATTCCCTGCTTTTGTTTCTCACAGTGAGGGCTTCACTTAGCGTGAGGTTCATTTTCGCATACGGCATCGAGCAGTGATCCGGTGCCGTTTTTCCTTCCCACTTTGTGACCCAGTTTTTCCCACGTTATTAAATCATGTATCTTTCCCTTAATATTTCAGAGGAGACTGTGGAGCCGCCTCTGTCATACTTGGGGTGCACACATGAGCCTCTTTTTTAAAACTTGATTGAATTGTAATTTACGTATGGTAGCCTGCATCCATTCCAGCTGTACCATTTGATGGACTTCGACAGATGGACGCACTCCTGAAACCACGGCAGTCAAGATACCG